CTTTTCAGCTCGCTGTAGTTCACACCTACAGTAGAATATCAGCATCAGGCCTCCGCACGTGGCACACATAATTGTAAGATCCATGTATTTTACGCTTTAAAAATACACCGTAAATTGGCCAGGTTCAACAGTATTTTGTTGGCACAGCAGATGAGCCAAATTCCGTCGTGGGATCAGTTCATGTAACTTTTGTGGATAAGTGCAGCATATGAAGTGAAAGTGTCTGAAGTCCAGTGATATTTTCATCTTTAGAGTACACTGACCCGATTTACCCCTCCCACCATTGTTCAGTCACACCCACTTGATACACTTGGACTAGAGGTCTCCGATTCCGTATTTGTCCGTGCATCTGGCTTGCTTAAAGGGACCGCTCCTTATTTGTAAGCGAGTTTGAACTGAGCCGTTTTCATGATTGTTCTTTGCGGTTCACAGCTATGTCACTTTTAAGACTTCGAACCCTCTCGTGCTTGGTGCGCGCGGACATCGCCTGGCTAACGGTCAGGGATTTTTCCGCTGTCTGCATGCTTCCAACGCGAACCGCATTTTGGCACAAAAAACACTGGCATTTGGGCAGATTCTAGATGTGACGGGCGGCATCGGCTCGATATGTGCCGCGCGTCCGACTGACCATCGCCCGACGGCGGCCTCTGTACCGCGCCGCCGCCGTATTGGACCAGAGCCGTCTGCGCCCCTTCGCGCGGGACATTCCTGAGTTCGAAGTTACTCATTCCTGAGTTACAGTTCGAAGTCTTGAGAGGCTATGCTTGGGCTCAATGCATGTAAAGGTTCTGCGTCCACCAGCGTTGTTTGTGAGCTAATGCATATCATTGCGCAGGATTACTTCATCCTTGCTGTATTGGCGGCCCGTTTTGTATCTGCTGCTTGCTTCGCGATGTGTAATTTTCGTCTGCCGACTTTATCTCGAAATGGGTGACCGGGTGTTGGATTCGTCAATGCTGTTCCACAGAGCATACTTAAGTTATGATATACCAGCATCATGTTCTTTCTCCAGTACCGCTAAGCTGCACCAGCACCCATTCGCCTTACGCTGAAACCAAACTTTGCAGTTGAACTGTAAAGGACAGGGTGAGCGTCTGGCAAAATAAATGATCCGTACGACTCAAGTGGAAAACGCCACTAAACGCAAGCTTCTCTTTGATTCCCGTGTACGAAAAACAGCACAGAAGTCCAAACGCTGTAGACCCGAGCCCGTTGCCGTTGCCAAAAAATATTCTTGTTTGTCTCTTTGCCAAAAGAAGTAGCCGAGAAAATACGAGTTGAAGAAAGTCATACGGAAGTCCACCGCCAGAGAACTAATACTTCCGGGTTCAGAACTAATTCAAACCGGGTAACATGTGAGCTTGGCTGAAAGAGGAACTCACGCCCGGTTGTGGCCTGCTACCATTCTTACTACAGACCAATGACCACTACACACCAATGCCAATGCTATTTCAGCGTTGATGAGGCCTGTAGAGTGGCAATCACAGAAACATGCCGAAAAGGAAGGCGATGTCGAAAATGCTACCGCGGGAGATCAGTTCTTTCAGAGGAATGTGCAAGGGGTAAGACCTTGAGGGAACAACTGCAATGCAATGCAGGATTGTCTATGAAACTATGAAAAGGAATAAACACCTTGCGGTTAAAAGAAGACACTGCACTTGTCTAATGCGCACCTTGTCCTAAACATTAGAAATAGTTTTGGCAGAGGCCACTGAGATCAATTTGAGCTACAACGAACTCATCGCAGCTTTTATAACTCTCCAGTCGGAACTCGACGTCAGCATGCTAATTCGCCTGATCACGGCTGTCTGCGCATATCAGCCCTAGCACCAAGCTCGCCGAAGAAACACACCCACACAGCAACTGAATGTCTTGCCGTTGCTTAAAGTGTTGGCAGGCGGGTGAGAGGGCGGCGATCATCATGTGCCGGCGTGTCATACCGCCCGCCATTCTGTGGGATCGAATGTCTTATGAACACCACCGTGCAGAAACACGCCCTTCATTGTATCGCAGTCTCTTTGTAGGTTTAATGGGTAATAAATATCATTGATCGCCAACATCAAGCAACTCGAGGTACCTCGTAATGAAATAAATTGATAACCAGAAAAATCAAGCCATAGATTATATTGTCGCAGAGGGCAGAGATTCAGCTTAATCATTTTACGATGCACGAACCACGGTTGTCAATGTAAACATGGGCAATCGCCCAAGCCGGTTGCATCGGAGGCAACAGAAACGCTACCCAGGGCAACTTTCGAGCCTTTTATGCGTTCTTTCGTGTTAGCCGCTGTGGTGATGGACCAAAATATCAGTGTCCTTAACAATAAGCCGTCGTCAAAGCACACTCTGCCTGCCATCGGCGTGCCAGCTAAACCCGGCTATACCCGGCTATACCCGGCTATACCCGGCTACAGTTTTCCCGGTGGGCCGAAATCCCATTTCCCAGCCCATCCACGTTAAGCAGGGTCGATAGATACAACAGCGGAGCTCACTTGTCGGGGCGTGGGAGCGGAGAATAGCACGTAGCGTGGTGAGATAGGCACAAGAATAGTAAAAAAGTAGGAAGTGGAAAATGTAGCACAATTTCAAGATACTGGTAATTACATACAAAGTGGGTGGTTGCCATCTGTTAGAATTAGATCCAGGAAGAACTGCGCTGATTCAGATGTTAAAATTAGATCCGGAAGGCTTAAAATCTGTTCTCCCTAGTGCCTCCATATGTTCTCGTCCTCTTTGTGACCGCTTCAGTGCACCAAACTTGTGTGTGCTGATCTTTGCATTCGTATATCGTTTCGTCTCCGTATGGCAGTCTCCGTGCCCCTATTTCTATCCCTATCCTTTCCACCTCCTGTTTCTCCTCCTTTTCCTCTCATTTCTATCGAGAGGTAGGAAAATTTCCAACAAAGCTGGCATGGCCAAGCAATCAGCCTCAACAAAATGTGTCGTAAGCCCGCTAATTTCACTGAAACTGGTGCGACAGCGTGCCATACCTCTGAAACTCACGTGCCATACCTCTGAAACTCACGTGCCATACCTCTGAGGTACGTTACCTCATGTGCAGTACCTCTCTGGTACGGAACCTCATGTGCCGTACCTCTCTGGTACGGAACCTCATGTGCCGTACCTCTCTGGTACGGAACCTCATGTGCCGTACCTCTCTGGTACGGAACCTCATGTGCCGTACCTCTCTGGTACGGAACCTCATGTGCCGTACCTCTCTGGTACGGAACCTCATGTGCAGTACCTCTCTGGTACGGAACCTCATGTGCCGTACCTCTCTGGTACAGTACTTCATGTGCCGTACCTCTCTGGTACGGTAACTCATGAACAGTACCTCTCTGGTACGGTACCTTATGTGCCGTACCTCTCGGTTGCGGTACCTTTGTGCCTTATTTCTGGGATACGGCACATCATGTGCTGTGCCGCGTTCTCCCCTGAAGTGTTCTGGAGGGGTCCAATCCTTCCAGGCCCTGTGCCTCCTGACGTGTTCGGAGGACTCGCGACCCACGCACCTGATCTCCTGCGTTTGTTAGGAGGGCTCGCGCCCCACGCACCTGATCTCCCGCGCTTGTTAGGAGGGCTCGCGCCCCACGCACCCGACCACATGTGCTTGTTAGGAGGGCTCGCGCCCCACGCACCTGATCTCCTGCGCTTGTGGGCTCGAATCTCCGTTGGCGTTGCCCATGTCGAAGATGCGGGCGTACAGCTCTCTAGTGCGCCCGTCCATTAGGAAGAGTGAGGCTCTGTC